GCTTTGGCTGACACATTTTTGATGCACATGTTTCTAGCAATTGTGCTTTGTTTCTTGTGGTTGACCTGTTCAACCTGAACACCTTTTGATCTTGTTTAATGCACCATCACTCACTCCAATTTGGGTAAGACCCTGCACTCACCCCAGGAGGACAAATACTAACCCAATAGCCAACAAGGTCCAACAAGCATGATTGCTGAAATCCCAGAAAGACATCCCAGACCTCCAATGGAGCTCTCTTTCCGTGTCTTCCAGGGTTTTTTGAGACTCTAAGAGACTCTGAGAGGGCTCGAGGGCATCGTGGGGGATCACAAAATCAGCACCTCCAAAGTCGACCGACCGCAAGGTTGATCGAACGCCTTTTTCAGGCCGCCGTCAGATGGGTTGAATGGAAGGACCTTGAAACCCTCACATGTCATGGCGCGTGAGAAAACGGCATAGCGGAGCCTGGTTTCGATCCAGGGACCTTTGGGTTATGAGCCCAACACGCTAGGGGGACCTGTTTTTGTGTTTATTTGTTTGTTTGTGTTTATTACGTGCTCGGGGAGGATAGGGTGTTGGGAATCATAGATGTTTGACACATGTGTCCATGGGAATGGTGGACCCATTTCAATTTGCAGGATTGTTCATATCATACTACCACTTGGTCGGAAGGCCGGAAGGTGTGACCTGCAAGATCACCAGCACAGTGCTGGCACAGTGCTGATCCGCCATTTCCACGGACAAAGCTGGCCGTGTTTTGTTGGCGAAGACGGACGCTCGGCCCTGGCGAACACAGATACAGATTGCACGAAGATGACTGGGCAAGTTGTACGGATGTGCGGTTGAAGATATGGTTGACATGTTTGTCATTCCGGCTCTTGCACCATCACCGCGGTTTCCAGGCACCACCACTGCGTGTTCGTATGAGACATCGATCCGCTTCATGTTCGTCTCCCGCATGTTCGTCCCGCGCCGTTCATTATTGGGCTTCTCCGGAGGTGATGGGGAGCACGAGTTGGAAACGCGTGGGTTGCCCCATGAGCTCCAAGCCTGCGACGGCTCCGAATCTGAGGGACCAAAAGGCTCCGGAATTTTGGTTGACCACCGAAAATGAGCAGAGTAGACTGAGTAGACTCAGACTTGAATATGGACTATTAGGGAGGCAAATGTTGCCAAAGTGGTTACCAGAAGCTTTTTGGGGGAGTGGTTTCTTTCAGAATGAAGTGGTAGAAAGGATGACTGTCACCTGTTGATTCCACGTTTCACTTGAGACAAGTTCGGAGGATGGAGCCTTTTAGGCGAAGAGGAGTCAGCCCTGGGCAGTTCGGCCATGGTCCCAGGTGTTATTTCAGCGCTTGGTATCTCCGAAAACGTGGACACCGTGCAGTCGCATGGGTTTAGGGCTTGAAGTCCACACTGGTAGATCCTACAATCGGCAAACAGGACGAAAAGAAGGACACTGCTCACACTACTTCTTCAGTTCTTGTCGCCCCGCATGGAGTGCAGTAGCCGCAGTAGCCCACGCACGCGTTCACACTGCCAAAAAACGAAGCATCACCAGCCACCGTACCCTGGGCGTTTGGATAGACCAAAAAGAAGAATGCTGGTCAGTTCAACATCTATTTCCCAGGCCACCCACTTACCCACGTTCATGACTCATGCAGGCCCTTTTTGTTTAGACCCCTTCAAAGCTAGATCGGCTTGGCAAAACCTGCGAAAGAGGGGGTGGCACACCTGCTTGTTTGGTCTTTGTGCTACGCTTCACCCGCGAGAATCTTCCTCGCAGTAACCCGCGGGGAGTGGCGACTCTTCCAGAATATCAGGAAGGGCTGTTCGGGTATTCATCAGTTGGGGTGGGTAAGAAAGGGTCCACTGCGGATGAATATTTCATACATGGAGTGTGGGACGACGGTCCTTGTGAGTCATTCTCTTCATGGATCCGGGAAAGTTGGCTAGTCTTTTCGACATACTCGAGCGGTGCCCAGCCATACTAATGTGGATCTCCAGATGTGCCCCATGTGCCAAGGGAAAGTCCCGGCAATTTGCTGGAGCATTGGTTGGTGAAAGCAACTTCTGCAGAACTTAGACGCTGAAAGCATTTGCTCCATGAATTCTTGGAACCCCCCGTTGCAAGACGTGGGGCGCGACGGCCGGCAGGTGCGACTTGGTCAGGCCGAGGCCACTCTTTCGAAAGCCACAAGACTGGCCAATGTTTGAGGACCACCCGACCGCAGCGCAAGATGGCGCTTGGTTGAATCATTCACGGACTTATCATATCACCACTTGGCCTTTGGATGTTGTGACCTGCAAGAACACCAGCACAGTGCTGGCACAGTGCTGATCCGCCATTTCCACGGACAAAGCTGGCCGTGTTTTGTTGGCGAAGACGGACGCTTGGCCCTGGCGAACACAGATACAGATTGCACGTAGATGATTGGGCAAGTTGTACGGATGTGCGGTTGAGGATATGGTTGACATGTTTGTCATTCCGGCACCATCACCGCGGTTTCCAGGCACCACCACTGCGTGTTCGTATGACCAGACATTGATCCGTTTCATGTTCGTCCCCGCCCGTTCTCATGCCGTTCGACATGGGTTGGATGTGTGTTGGATTTTGGCCTTGAAGACTCCTTTTGCAAAACCCAACAGTCCTAAGTCTCAGGGCATCCAAACTTTTCAAGTGGGTGATGAGACCGAACAGCTCCAAGAAGATATAGCTTACAAGGTGTGTCATTGAGACCTACTTCTGTGCGTGTTTGGGAATGCAATATATTACTATATGTAAATTAGTAAATTTGTCTTTGTTGCAAGATCCAGTCAACAATCCAGTCACGGTCTGGACAAGTCCAGAGGGTCCTTTTCTCCTCCGAAGACCGTCGTCATCTTCGCCCTCCCGAAGGTCCGCCCGCCGTGCCGGCCGCGCTGGCCTTCGCCAAAATTCGGTCCAGGAGGTGATGGGAAAACCATGTGCTCCTGGAAGGAGAAGGGCAATGCCGCAGAATTTGATGCACCAGAAGTCATTGGAAGTCTATCGTGGCCTCACCGATTAGCAGTCGCAGTGGCCTTTGTGACCACCAGTGACCACCTCAGGTTTTCTGGCGATTGGTTTGCCTCACAATCAAGTGGTGGAACATGATTTAGTATGATTTAGTGTTTAAATAGTAGCATTGAAGAGGCCTTGACTTTCTCATACCTGGTCCCTCGCGAAGTCCTGCCTGGTACTGGAAGATGTGGATGTCATGATTTGCTCGGTCGGTTTATGGCTCTGCTGGTAGGTCCAGATCCTGTAATCGGCCCGCAGCTGCTCAAAAGAACAACAACTAGGGTCACTGCTCCCCGAAAAGAAGTCAGCCAAGAGTGCACTTCAAATCTTGTTCATACAGTTCTTGTGCAGTTGATTGCAGTTGGATTACCCCATAGCCTTCTAGGGTGGCTATGAGACACACCCCACATTAAAATAAAAATAAAAATATTATATATTATTATAATATAGTTGACATTCACCATGGTTGAGCGCTCCCAATTTCAACTCATAACTGCAGATCCTGAGGCATGGCACTCGTATTGTCAACCCGCTATTGGTCAACTGGAACTTCCAGAAGGCCCCTAAAGTGTGCATGTTTGTGTGTATGTGTGTTATCCTGAAGCTCATGGAAATTTTGGCCAAGCTTGCCGCATCATAATCTATTCTTACTTTGCGTTGAGGATTTGTTGTTAAAACTGTCCCGGTGAGTTCTGGCTTATTATATAGTAGTATATCAGGGTGTCCACCCATACTTCTGGAGCTCCGGGCCATGTGCCAAGTGCAGTTGATGCTTCTGGGGAAGGTCCAGCAGTGTTTGGAGGATTGGTTAGTGACAGCAACTTCTGGAGGGCTTGATGCTGAAAGTCCTACGGTACGGTAGATGAATTCTTTCCACCCAGGCTTGCGAGACTGGACCAGTGAGCAAACGGGACCAGTGAGCATTTAGTCTCTTTTGGTCCGAAGGCTGACACCCCGTTGTGTAGTGGCCAAAGTCAGGCCATCAGCGGGAGAGGAAGATCTAACAGTGGCCGCACGAGATGGCGTTTGGTTGAATCTGTCATTCGTGAACTCGTGAGATTGCCACACCTTGACTGCACGGTCTGAGTGCAGTCCCGGTGTTCGTTGCGTGGCCAAAAAGGAGAGAGGTCCCTGGAACGGTGTGACATTCAGAAAGGATGTTCAAGATCTCCATCTAATCTCTACGGGTGTTGTGCGGCTCATTGAACGAGCGCGAACGTCAAAAGCTCCAGAACACTGTGTCCCTTGAGCACGATTCTATAGCCCATACACTCCATGTTTCTTTCTCTCATACCTCATTCTACAGCCCAGCCTGTCTCACCCAGACACGATCTGTCTGGGACTGCCAGGACGGACTGTCGCCCCAGAAAGGCTGCCCCTGGTCACCACCCCTGGCCTGATCCGCCCTCCCATGGCAGCCCCCAATTCGGTCGCCGGTAGATGCTACGGCGGAGGTCGGGGATCCGCTCGGCGCGCTCGACCACGGGGGTCTCGCCTCGCTGGATCAGCGATGTGCCAGGTTCTTACGGCTGTCTTGTTTGGATCAAAATGGAACTCCGAAAAGTCATCGCCTGCAGGGCCTTCCTCACTTCTCACTTCCTAGGTGATACCCATTTGCCCATTTTCCCCCAACACACACACGATTCTTCCTATATCAGGATGGCAACGACCAGCATGTCACCTCCACATGTGAAGGGCATCCCACGTCACTTTGTTGGGCAAAGCATCTTCCCTCAAAGCTGCAGCAGGTTCATTTGCCTTCAGAGATTCATGTACAGCCCTCCGTGAACTCCGGGCTGAAATGCCAAAGGCTAAGGCCTTTTTGGCAAAACCTTCACAAAACCTTCTAAGAGCCTAAAATCATCGATCTAATTCACGTTAATTCATTATATAATGAATCACCATTAGGGAATTGAGTGGCGATTCCTGAACAAGATCAACTCACTCGAGAATTCGACACTCTTGCCGTTCCAAGGTGAGGCTGAGGCAGCTGATGGCGGAAGGAAGCGTCATCTTTTCATGTTTTGAGTGGTGGGGAACAAGGCATGGAATAGATTGCCGTTCACTACATTTTACCGCTATCGGTTGCGCGGCTGGTTGATTTCATTTTTTGGGGGGGGGACCCCTAAGTGAACCGCCATAACACCCCTGTATGAATCCCAAGAGGACATCATGGGAACAAGACATAGCTGACAGTAACGTCAAGGGCTCGATGTTTGATGTTCCTAATAGATTGATTAAGCCAGTTATTACGATACATCGAGTTGAATACGAATAATACATGTATATAAGTTGTTTTATGAATCAATCAAGCCTCCCTTCTCCAGAATCAAGGGTTTGACATCTCCAGGCCTGAGGATGTCATTCAGTTCACATGTCAAATACCAAAAACCATCGTGCCCAACTTGAGCGAGCCAATAACACCTGGCTGCCATGATCTGCCATGATGACATCCTTCCCAAGGCAGAAACCATCCATCTGCCTCCAGGACGGGGCCTGCGCAGCTGCTGGCCTTCCACGCCGCAGTGCAAACGGCTCCGGAGCTACTGGCAGCAGTGCTTCGAGGTCCGGACGGGTCAGGACGACGCGCGGTTGGTCGGTTGCACCCCAGTGACTCCCTAACCACCAGAGGTGGGTCAGAAGCCTATATAGACTATCCTATAGACCCCTGGTGACGGGTCACTTAACCTGTTGGAATGCCTTCGTTGGAGTGACAACCACGAGTGTTTGATATAATTGGGATTTTCATGGTCATGCTGGCTTTCGGAGCCATGCCGTCCACGTTGGCTCATGATTTTGGTCCAGGGAGTGTAAGTTGATGTTTGGAAAGGAGTGGTATACCCAGACGCTCCATGTATATCTGTATGTCCATGTATGGCATATTTACCTACATATCCTACATTGGGGTGGTGTTGGTGGTCAATGGGGTGGCATATAATAGACAAAATATATATGGCAGTCCCAGACAGGTCGTGTTTGGAATTGGGATTGACCCGTTTGCATGGTGACGTTGCTCCTGGGCGAAAGCTGCTCCTCGTTCGATCTGGGACATCACCGGACCAGGCCTTTCATTCGATCGCGGGGACTCAAAAAGCTGCTCCTTGTTCTCTCCACACCCGTTGAGTCGCCGGTCAATTTGCCCAGACACTCCATGTATCTCCATGTATGCCGATCAGTTGGGGTGGTTTTGGAAGGTTTTGGAGGTCTTTCTGGGGTGCCAGTCCTGGCAGTCCCAGACAGCTCGTGTTTGGGAAGCTGAACCGGCTCACAGGTCCGAACAGCGTCGAAGGGCAGAGCGAGGACATCGAGGTGTGGGACCCGGAGCGAAGGGAGGAGGTGAGAGGTTCACCCACTGTCTTTGGGGGGCCAAAGACATAACTACCAAAAGCACGCAGCAAGTATAGCTGCTATAGCTTATAGATAGTCTTGTAGAATTTTATGTCAACTGTTAGAATCACGGTCGAAGCCATGGGAGATTCATGGTTTGATGACCACAGACCATAGAGATGAGAGAGAGAGGGGGCCAGACCTCTCCAGCTTCGGACTGCTGAACGTGATGCTTCTCGATGCTCACATCCACGATCATCTCAAGCAAGAAACCACCTTGTGAAAGAGTCAGGACTCAGGACTCACGACTCACCGTATACCTCCTTATATCACCTTGACCAGCCGGCCTGTCGGGTCTAACTTCAGGTGTCCTGCACCCCCCGCGACGGCCCAACCCACCGACGATGCCGAGGCCTTCCTCCGCGCGTTGGAGGCCACGAGTCTTCAGCTCCAGCGACGGGAGCGCCTTGGACGCGCCGCCTTCTCCGTGAAGCCGCCGGATTCTGTGGGGGAAATCGGCTTAAGCCAGGCGATTTGCGCTGGTGAGAAGTCGGAGGGACAATTTGAAAATATGTTGTGGGCATTCCAACATATTCCAACCCCAGACACGACTAATGGGACTGCCATATATGCCACCCCATTGACCACCAAAACCACCCGAAGGTAAACATGCCATACATGGAGCGTTTGGGAATCATATTTGGGGCATAACAAGTTCTTATCAAGCAACACCGGGGTGAAATGGGGTCCTGTAGGATCCTTTAGGCATTTTTAGGCCGGCCAGCTTTTTGATCCAGACAGCGCAGGTGAAGCAGTGAAGGATCCAGTCCTTCCTGACTCTCGGGGTAAAAAATGGAAGGGATGATGCGCCCATATACTCACATTCTGTGGTCCAGCTTCAAAGTGATCTCTTTGGAGTGCTTTCTCAGGACCTTTTACAGGCCCAATTAAACAGATCAAAAGGTCAAGAACCAGGGTCTCCAACCCTGGACATTGTCCTGGTTCCTCAAATGATTCCACCCGTCCGATGTGATCCACTGGGACCCAGTCACCGTTCTCTGCTTCGCTGTTCCAGCATGCCTGGCAGCCTGCGAAAAGCGCGTGTTTCGCGCGTGTTTCGCGCGAAACGCGCGCCTAGCAAGCCTCCCCGGTGTCACTCACATGGAACCTGTGGTTTTGGCATGTTTCCTCTACAAGCCAGTGGTTTTCTGTTTGTGTTAGCTTTCGGGTATGCGACCGACCCCAAACTGAGGCCTCAAAAGTGGAATCGCTGCAGTAGCGTGCTGCTGCGCTGCATGGCCTTTGCATGAATGAGAGTGGACTAGTAGTGATCGGCGGCTGAGGCGTCGTCACCTTCACACGAAGAGAAGACATCAGGAAAGCTTTGATTTGTTCAAATGCCTGGAGCTTAGAGGGTAACAGGCAACCCATGTGACGTCCACGTGGACGGTCTCTATTGGTCAAGAGTTTGGAGAGGATCCTTTTTGGGTGACTTGCGAAAGGGGAATTTGGAGGTGGCGCTCCTCCAGTGTGCCAGTGCTTCATCTCCCTTGGCAGCAGATGGCACTGCCAAAAGTGGCGCCATGGAACGTGTACAGATCGTGCCGCTGGCTTGCCAGGGGAGACATGGATGTGGTTCAACAGAACATTGAGACCCAAAACCAGGTTATATACCATCGAGATCATGGAACGGTAAAAATTCATGGTCAATCCCACATTATATAAGACCATTTAATAGACATATATATATATAATTATTCATATAGATTCTGGATATTTTGGTCAAGACCTGGGGACTCAGGTGTTGGGTTTGGTCCCCGATCTTTGAGCAACATTTTTGGGATGGCCACATCCCTTCGCATCTCCCAAAGGTGTCAAACAATCCCTTTGGTTTCGGAATGCTCCACCGGCCGCACTGGCTGATGATATGGGCCAAGCCCTCTTCAGAATCCATCCGGCTTGTGGCCTCCAGATGCCCGAACAACACTAGAATGTAGTAGCCAAGTGAAGGCAGAACATACCATTCATTCATATTAATTCATACTATAAGGCGGGAACTTAAAGGTTTTAGTGGCTCTAGACTCTAGACCAAATCGATACCAATCGTAGCACGTAGATGGTCAACAAACCCATCAATTGGGTTACGATATGTGATATGGATTTGTCAAGAAAAGCGAAACCAAAAACAAGATCCAGTGTGTGGTCCCAGGGAATCGTAAGTATATAACTGATTCACTTCTGCCAAGTTTTGCCATCCTTTCTGCCAATCAAAGCTCTTAAGCAGCGTTCAGGTGATCCACGAGGTGATTGGCTGGCAAAAATAAGGACCGCCTTCTCCATGTTTGGTGACTTTGTGTGAGAATTCCCAAGGCAGTGGTGAAGGTGATCCACTCACTGTTTGTTATGTTTTGCAGTTCCATCGAAGTCATCCTACTGTTGACTGTAGAAAGCAATTCTGTTTGCATGATCCTTGCCTGCCTCACTAGATTGATAGAAGCTATTTGGTTGAACAACAGTTTAATATATATATATATATGGTAGTATTTGGACCCCATGGCAGGTAGGTGATCCAGCAGTGCGGATTGGATGACAGCGGATTGGTAGGACTTGTCTTGCTTTCCTGTAGTTTGGAGAAGTCTTCGACCAGTTGGGCATCTTCTTGCACGCAGATCTTTGTTTAAGGGACTGGGTCAAAACGTGGAGAACTTCGGCAGATCATCACCGAAAATGCTCGCTAAGAAGCCAAAGGCCCTCGCAGCCCTCGGTGAATCGCTAGGACCCTTTCAGAGCTTGGGCCTTGTTGTTGGGATATGACCGTTTTTCTCACCTCTCAGAAAACGGTACAACCCTACACCTACAGGTAATGTTCTCATTCAGCCTTGTTTTCCAAGGTGAGCACACCTTCCAGAGGTAGCAAGGTATCAGGTGTGTGAATTGAACGTTTCGTCCCGCGTTTTGAACCCTTTAGCCCGGCCGACTTGGCCACGGTCTGCCACGGTCCTCGTGGCCGACCTGAATTCGTGCGCTGGTGAGAGGTCCAAGGCTAAAAGCTGTCACAGAGTTGCTCCTGGAATTGTGACTGGATCATCCTAATATTTAATAGACACAGCAGGAGTCACAAGACGGGGTGGTTTGTTGTCCCATTAACCCAAGAAACAGTTAACAGTTCCCTACATACTGTGCGAACCCTCCCATGACAAACATAGAGATGTTCACTACCAGGTCAGTGTCGGGCACGTTCGACATATGTCCCAAGTTCCAGGGCCGCCAGCAGCTGATCAAAGCAGTTGTGCAAATTCTTGTGTGAACATATCAGGATACTGATGCCGCATGCCCACTCCTGGCAAGAAAAACGGGCAAACTCTGCATGAAGCGAGTAGATGCATGTACTGTGCCAAAAATCCTTTCCTGTTTGGTTTGGAACCCTTTGCTCCCTGGCCTGGTGACAGACCCAGTCGACAGACTGCTCACACGCGCGCCAAAGCGGAAATGGCCCCCGCCCCCTTCGAAACGCGGCACACGGGGCGTCGCACCGCCGGGCGGAAGCAAAAGCGGCGCTCGCACTCTCACGGTGAAGCGCGCCTATACCTTCGACCCTGTGAGGAAAACCTGGTACCTATAGCTCCAGCATTATAACATGCATGGTGTTTGATCATACCTAGGGTTCTACCCATAGCCTATAATTAGCCTATATCATCCCATATCCGTATACCTGTACCAGGGTACTACTAATTCGTGCGCTTTGGATGGCTCCCTAGTTATATAGCCCCATGTCAGACATCACGCCGGAACTGCCAAGTCCTCCACATGGCCGAAACCTGGGGCTTTTGCCACGATTACCGGACAACTCCCAATTGTTTGAGCGATGTGAGGCAGACAGCCTGGCAGTCAAGTGCGACAAGACAGATGAGGAGGCTGGTGAGGCACACTGCCTCCACCAAGGTGGAGGATAAACATTTTCCGGTCCAGAACAGCCACCTTTTGCCGGTTCCATGCTTGTTTTTGTTTGGTGAGAGGGTTGTCTTGGTGTCATCAATCAGCCACAGGCTGTATGAAAGTTGAATTCTTAAACGCGTCAGCCAACAAGTCGGGTCCAAGTTTCTCCGACTTGAACGCAGCTGTAGCGGCTGAACACCCCAGGGTGCGATTGGTCCGATCTTCTTCAGTGCCGCAGATCCAGTTGGGTGAGGCGAATGACCTTGGAGACCTTGCAACAGAGTCAGGGACCTTTGGCTCTGCCGGTCCCTGAAGTTGCTTCGCCCGGTTCATCGTATACGTTGGTGAAGGACCCGGAGATCCCAAGGCTACTTGGGAAGATCGAGGAGCATGTGAGGACCGGGTTTCAGGATACCCGAGTCTTGGAAGCACAGCCTGACTTCATCAAGGAAGTTGTGAAAGTGCCATTTCAGCTCATCCTCACCCACAGCTGTGTGGTTCTGGGTGCGGCAGGTGCTGGCAAAACCACATTGGTGAAAGCCTTGGGTGGTGGCACATTTGAGCCCCATGTTCCAGCCGGGCCCCATTTGAAGAACAGAACGCAGCATGCACAATGGTTCGATCTTGAACTCGAAGGTCTTATAGAAGATCTCCAATTTGGCCTGATTGACACTCCAGGATGGAGCCCCGAGACGAGCACGGACATCAAGTCGCAGTACAAGCTGATCTTGAAAGAGAAGCAGCTGGTCTCAGAACAGACGCCTCATATCATCATGTTCTGTGTGCCAGTGTCCTCCATCCGTCAATTTGAGAAGGATGAAGCAAGGAAAATGAGCAAGCAACTGCAAGATTTGAAATTTGACCGACGCTTTCCCATCAAGGTCCTTCCAGTTGCCACCAAGGCAGACACAGAGGACCCGCATGATTTGCCGGATCTTTTGTCGACCATCGGGGAACTCACGCGCACAGCCTTCCAAGACACTGGAGCAGAAGTGCAAGAGCCGCTATCTACACAGCTTCCGCCCAGAGGCCAACTTGGAGTGGACCTATTGAAAGAGCGGCTTGAGCGAGTGTTGCATAGTCAGTTGCACTCCAGTGAGTTCTGTGACCTGTGGCAAAAGGCCTTTGCCAAGAGCGTGGCGGCAAAGACCAAGGAGCACTGTGAGAGGTTCCCGGAGAATGACTCAGCTTTGCGCTTGTTCAAGAGGGCATGCCACACGGTGGCATCCGCTTGTGGGAAGCAAGTTGAAGGGTTGGATGACGTCACCATGAAGGAGGAGTTGTGCTGGTCAGAGATCGAGCGCATTCCGACCACGGAGGGGCAGCCATGGCGGCCGCCCAGCAAATCTCTCATCGTCCGGTGCTGGTACTGGATCGGCCCTCGAGCCCGATTGGGTTGCAAAGCTATGCTTGTTGTCCTTGCTATCCTGGCAATGTTTAGGCTGCACAAGCGGCTGCAGGCTCAACAAGAGAAGTGGAATGAGAAGATCGTAAAAGTATTGAGACGCCTCTCGGAGGAGGAATCTGCACACAAGATTACACAAGAGGGGCTAGACGCAATGACTCAGAAGCACCAGGCTGAGCAGTCTGCACACAAGATTACACGGGAGGGGCTAGAC